ATTTTTAATTTTATAATAGATTTTTTTATATTTAGTTTATTTTTTTTTTAAAAAAAAATAAATAAATAAAATAAAAAACTTTTAATAATAATATTATTAAAAAAAAAATCAAGAAAAAAAAATTTTTTTTTTAGTTTTTAGATTTTCTTTTTTTTACCTTCACAAATGAAAGTCATAAAAAAAATTCGAAAGGCTCAAGAGGAAAGAAGACCTTTTTGGTCCTTCGAGTATTTTCCTCCGAAGACCCCGCAGGTATACACGATTTGTTTTGATTCCAACACTATGATTGCTAGTAGTTGTTAGTTTTGTGTTGTTTCTACTTCCATTTATTGGATTCTACAAGTTTTCTTTCTAATAAAGTCGTGTATATTTTAGCTTTTTAATTAAACAAATACATATTCATTGCTTACGAAACTTATTTAAATACTTCATTTAGGGTATTCAAAATCTCTATAACCGTATGGAAAGAATGTATCTTCTTGGTCCAGAATTCATTGACATTACATGGAATGCTGGTGGAGCGTCTTCACAGCTAACTAGTGAAATCACCGCCACTGCACAGTCTGTGTACGGGTTAGAAACCATTATGCACTTGACTTGCACTAATATGCCTAGAGAAAAAATCGATAAAGCTTTAAAGGTATGTTAACGTTGCTCGTATTTGTTTAATCATTTATTTGCAATAACTATTGTGCATGCAGAGTTTACTCAATATTTGGCGCGTCATTAATTGTATGACCCAATATTTGACCATACAGGATGCTAAAGAATGCGGTTGTCAAAATATTCTTGCTCTTCGTGGGGATCCACCTAGGGGTCAAGAGAATTGGGAAGCATGTGAAAACGGGTTTTCAAATGCCATTGATCTCGTTCGATATATTCGCGCCGAATATGGTGATTATTTTGGTATTTGCGTAGCAGGTTATTGTGAAGGTCACGTTGATAATCCCGATAAAGAAGATGATCTACGGCGCCTCAAAGAAAAAGTAGATGCTGGAGCTGATTTCGTAGTGACCCAAGTATTTTATGATGTGGACTTATTTTTGGATTGGGTTAAAAAGTGCCGTGCGATCGGTATTACTTGCCCTATTCTTCCGGGCATTTTACCAATCCAAAATTATACTGGATTCAATAAAATAATAACATTATCAAAGACTATCGTTCCTCAATTTGTCATGGATGCCTTAGAACCTATTAAGGACGATGATGCCGCTGTAAAAGAATATGGAATTAGATTAGCTGTTGGGATGATCAGAAAAATGTATGAAAATGGAATTGATGGTTTCCATTTTTTTACAATGAATTTGGAAAGGTCTACGCGTTTGATATTAGAAGCTTTGAAATTTGTAGCACCTGTAGAAAACGTAAAACCTTTACCATGGTGCCCGGTAATATTTCTATTTTTTGTAATATGCATTTATTAATTAATTATTAATTACTTATATTTTTACTTGTATAATGTACTGATAGTCTCTATCGGCTAAACGCAAGAAGGAAAATGTACGCCCTATATTTTGGAGGAATCGTACAAAAAGTTATATTGCACGCACCGAAGCATGGGATGAATTTCCTAACGGAAGATGGGGTGACTCTAGGTCACCAGGTAATTGATTGCTACTCGTGTATCTAAAATTTTTAATGGTAAAAAAACTTTTCTCACAATTATTGTTCATAGCTTACGGTGAACTGGATGGTTATGGCATATCATTAAAACATACTGTATGTATTAATTTAGTGTTTATACTTTTACCTCGAGAAACTTTATTTAAAGTAACATCCGTTTTTATATAGACTAAAGAAGCTCTTGAATTATGGGGCTACCCCTATACTTTAAATGATATTTTCTCCATGTTTGTCCGATACTGCCGCGATGAAATTACATCTCTACCATGGTCCGATCAACCTCTTGCAAAAGAGACTGAAATTATCAGGGATCGTTTGACTTATATAAACTCTTTGGGATATCTTACAATAAATTCACAACCTTCTGTAAACGGCGCCCGCAGTGACGACAATGTGTTTGGTTGGGGACCTAAAAATGGTTATGTTTACCAAAAGGTATAATAAAAATTATATTTCTTTATTTTCACTGATTACGTACTAAAATTTAGTGCAACTTAAGGCATACTTAGAAATTTTTGTCTCTCCTACAAAACTTGATTCTCTAATTGCGAGAATTGAGCGTGACCCCAATATAACGTTTTATGCTGTAAACAAACAGGTAATGAAATTTTATACCTCTAAAGAAAAATTATTATCATTTATTTAATTCTTTTTCAATAGGGTGATCTGAAAACAAATACTCAGAGTGAAGGACCTAATGCTGTGACGTGGGGAGTATTCCCCGGAAAGGAAATAATCCAGCCGACGATTGTCGAAGCTGTAAGCTTCGTGGCTTGGAAGGTATTTACTAAAACTTTGTATCCTAACTATTTGAACAAAGATAATAATTTTGCGGTTATTTATTAGGATGAAGCTTTCGAACTATGGAATGAATGGGCTAAAATTTATGAACCCGATTCTGTATCTAGAAAATTGATATTACAAGTAGCGGAAAATTGGTATTTGATTAACATTGTGCATAATGATTTCCATGATGGTGACGGAATTTTCAAAATTTTCGAACACGATGCAGTAGACTTACTAGATGCCGATCGTTGATTATTATTTTTGATAAACATTTTTCGATTTTATTTATTATAAAATCAGTCTTTAAGCATCACAATCATTACAATGAATCAATATCTAATATTGTTGCATGTATCATTTAGAACCGTGTAACGTTAATTTAACTATTATTTTGCCATGTTAAATGGTAAAACGATAAATTGGTTGAACCATATATCATTTTGCATGTACTGTTTAATTTGCATTATTCATAAATTTGTTCTTCGCATAATAAAAATAAGACGTGTAATTTTATTAAACGTTTTGAATATATAAATCTCTTATTGTAATTATTAAAAAATGCCACTTTTTGAAATTTCTTTTTCATTTTTTAAATAAAGTTGATTTTTACTTTTTATTTGAATTTTGTAATAACTATTAAATGGTCAATTTATTAACATACGTATTTTTATTCTATTTTTTTTGTTAAATAATTTTTATACTTAAATTATTAATTATTGTAATTATTAATTAATTCTTATTTTTTTGATTTTAAAAACTGTTTCTAATATAAATTTTAATATTTATTTTATTAGTGAAGCAATAAAAGTTAATTTATCAAAAATAAAAAATTAATTATATTAATATTATTAATGTTTAATATTTATTATAGCAAAAAAATTTTTTGAATTTATATTTACAAATTCTTACATAGATATATTTTTTTAATTAATCTATTATTATTTCTATAAATTGTATTTAATATTTTGTCTAATTATTTTTATTTTTATTTTTATTTTATTAATTTTCTTGACTGATCTGAATCAACTTTTTAAATTACATTCTTTGTTTCGATAATATAAAATAATATTGCTTTATTGTTTTTTGTTCATTGCTTTGTATTTTGTAAGAAGCATGTGTTAACAATCATGTGAAATTTTTCCAAAATTTACCACTGAGCAATTTCGTGTCACATTACATAAATTCGTTATACTCTGATCAACTTTACTTACGCGTTTAAATTCATTCGCTTTAGTTATAAATGTCGTCTAGTCGTATTACTCGAAGCTCCCTGGGTGTAACTACTGCCTCGCGTAATGAGCGAAGAGAATTTGATATTTTACTTCGGGAACTCAATGAAATGCTACCATATGTTTCAAAAGGTATTACATTTGCAACAGAATCCGCAGTAGACTTGGAGCAAGCAGAAGAAGAAGAAGAGGTGATTTTATCTTTCTTTATCGTTTACAGAATTAGTCGATTTTAACCCCTTCGATGCTTAGGTTGCTCAATTGGATAATGTAATAAGGGAATGTATCGACATGGAGTGCACCATAGTTTCTCAAAAAGAAGCACTTGAGAAGATTAAAACGAAAATAGAAGCAGGACAAGAAGTTGTAGGTAAAAAATTTTGTACTCATATAGATTGATTTAATTATTTGATAGGTGCTGGTACAATGAATTTTGTAATTTTGATCTGCATATATAATAGGATCTTGTAGAAGCATATAAATCCATATACGAAGCCGCTCTCGAAGAATATGAGACGGCACCAGAGGACGAAAAATATTTCCAGAACGAATATTACCGTGATTTTAGACAAAAAATTTGGGTAATATAACTTTTAATTTCTGAGATCCCTAAGAATCCCTCTAATAAACCTGTTCGGTATTGACAGGAAGTTAATCATCCAGACGAAACAATGCCTCCTCTTAACGGAAATGAAGATGATGAGATCGTGATGGGAAAACAAAAGGAGTCATTACATTGTCCAATCACAACTTTATTGCTTGAAGATCCGGTTACGAGGTATCAAAAGCATCTTCGATTGTTATTTATCTCTTTGCTTGTGATTCATTTACAAATTATTATTATATAATAGTAAAGTGTGCAAACATACGTTCTCCAAAGACGCCATCTTGCAATTAATAAGGCGTAATAGAGATGCTGTCTCGTGTCCAATGACAGGTAATGGTTATTTGGTTTCCATCTTTAATTGTAACCATTTTTAATTATTTTTAATTAAGGTTGTGATAAACAAATCATGGAACACGATCTTCAACCAAACAAAAGAATTGAGAGAAAGGTTGCTCGATACCGTGCAGAATATGATGATCCAATGAATGACGTCGAGGTATTCAAGTTGATACATTATACTTTGTGTTAATTGATTGCTAATCTCAATTCTGCACATCTTCTAGTATACGAGTGTTGATTGACCTCTAATTGAGGCTCTTGGCTATTTCAAACATGTGAAATTATCTATTATCTCATAATAGTAATTAGAACGTGCAAAAAAAAATTTAAATTTAAATTTCATGCCAACTCACGAACTATTTGTTCACTATCATATGCTCTTAATTTTATACGAATTCTCATACATATTATTTGTTTTGTGCGGGCGTGTGCTTATCGGATACTTCTTTTTTGCTTACTTCATTTTCATCGTTTGGTCGGGCATTTTGTATGGTTTCAGCCAGTCCATTCCTATAAAAAATGCATTAATTCCAATCTTTTCTATACCTCAGCTATTTTATATTACCGTCTAAGTTTTCCAAACATGGGAGCCCACGCGTATATAGAAATCCCGGCTCCCAGAAGGGACCCTACTATCACTGACTTAAATCTCTGAAAAAAGTTGTACATATCGTAAATGTATACAATCAGATAAAAAAATTTTTTTACGTGGTTACTCAAATGAATGATATAGTTTAGGTATGTGGCTTTTGTAATAATATAACGTTTGCGATAGTATAAGTACAAGATATTGAGTGGCGTGTCACAAAATGTCTATATATTATATATATAAATTGATAATTATCGTATTTAAATTAAATAAATTGGGTTTTTTAAATATAAGTAAAATTTTTTATATTGATATAAAATTGTAAAAACTTAATTTTTTTTTTTTTTTTTGGGGGGTTATCCCAGTAGGTAAACATCATTTCTTTATTTGATATTGTATATTACAAGGTA